GGGAATTAACAGTGTAGACGAGGATGGACTATTTGACATGGGTGATACACAAGCTAGTAAAGCACAAGCACATCTTGTTAAACACAATATAAAGTTAGAGAAGAATCAGCGGTATGCCACCAGGCTCGTCCCGGAACTAAGAGGAATGAGCTACGTGGAAAGGCTAAAGGAGCTGAACCTCAAGTCCCTGGAAAACAGAGGAGTAAGGGGAGACATGATAACCACCTACAAATTTCTCAGGGGAATTGACAGAGTGGACAAAGACAAACTCTACAGCACGGGTGGGACACGAACAAGGGGGACACAGGTGGAAACTTAGTACCCAGATGAGCCACAGAGACGTTAGAAAGAATTTTTTCAGTGTCAGAGTAGTTAATAAATGGAATGCTCTAGGAAGTGATGTGGTGGAGGCTGACTCCATACACAGTTTCAAATGTAGACATGATAGAGCTCGAGAAACTTAGAAATCTGCACTCCAGTAGATTGACGGTTGAGAGGCGGGACCAAAGACTCAAAGCTCAATCCCCGCAAACACAACGAGGTGAGTACAAATAGGTGTGTACATATCCCCGGGAAGCAGCCCGTAGCAGCTGTCTAACTCCCAGGTACCTATTTCCTGCTAGATGAACAGGGCACAAAGGTGAAAGAAAATCTGCCCATTTGTTTCTGCCTCTGCTGGGGATCGAACCCGGCCAGTTAGGACTCCGACCCCAGAGCGCTGTCCACTCAATGGCCGTCATATTGTTGTGCACAATATATACCACAGCTATATTATAGTGTTATGCAACGATTGTACTTACCAGCCAGTACTTGTGAAATTATATAAATGACAAGAAAGAGGAACTAATAGAAAAGAGGGAGGAAGATAACAGATAACCAGAGTGTGGCAGTGATAACCAGATAACCTGATAACCCAGCATGCCACATCTCTCGCCGGCTACCACATTCCCTCGCCACCACCCTGCATACCACTGCTGGGAGCCCCTCCTGCATCTACGCACTCTCACCTGCGTCAGTGACATGACGTGGAGAGTGAGGTCTATGAATTCGTGCAAGCTAATGCCTGTTGTATCTGAGGGTAGAGGCTACAGTGTAGTGTAACACTAGTAACAGCTGAGGAAACATCTGAGGGTAGAGGCTACAGTGTAGTGTAACACTAGTAACAGCTGAGGAAACATCTGAGGGTAGAGGCTACAGTGTAGTGTAACACTAGTAACAGCTGAGGAAACATCTGAGGGTAGAGGCTACAGTGTAGTGTAACACTAGTAACAGCTGAGGAAACATCTGAGGGTAGAGGCTACAGTGTAGTGTAACACTAGTAACAGCTGAGCAAACCGAAACACGATGACAGATGTTAAGACTAGGAGGAAGGGGAACCATGGACAAGGAGGGAGCAATGATCAAGGAAAATAACGTCCAAAGGTCATGAGTATGGCTACATGGAATATGTTAACAGCGTTAGATCCCCCAATGAAGGAGGAGTAACATAAATGTGGAAGAGAGACAAAATAAGGGCGAGGTGATAGTAGGGTTATCGCCTCTTCCTTTTCTACAAGCAGAGGTAACTTTACCAGGAAGGCAACTGCTTGAAAGGGTCGTATTAAACTATCTTACACATAAGAGTCCTGGTGGTATAGTCGGATTCGATCTTGACGCATAATCGGGGATTCCGGGTTCGAATCCTGGGCGGGACAGAAATGGTTGGGCACATTTCCTTCACCTAATGGTTCTGTTCACCTGGTGGGGTATGCAGCTGATGTCCTAATACAGGCCCCGCCTTTGAAAAAAAAATAAAAAGTCCATTCAACTCCTTGCAAGGAAGTGTACGGAACTCAATTTCACCACAAAGAAGACAGAATCATACTTCCATCACAAGCGAGGAGAAACCGAAGAACTGCAAATTAATGGTGAAACACTTGAATGGGTTGACCACTATCAAAATTTTGGAAACGCCGTTGGCTCTAACAACGGAAAGAAAGAGGAGCTCGATCAACTTAAAGGAACATGTAAAAGTCGTCTAAGGGACCTGAAAGTCATGGCCTGGAATGGTCATGGAGCTTCTATTGCCGTGCTTAAAATAGTGTACAAAGCATATGTGCACTCCATCATAGACGATGCCGCACCAGCCTTGTGCTGTGCACTTTCTGCCAAAGCAGTATGAAAAGACTTGAAAGCATACAAAAGGATACCATGGCAATCATTCTTGGAGTTTCAAAAACTGCCAAAACATCTAGTCTATGAGAAAAACTTTCTCTCCCTCAGTGTTAAAATCAGAGTTAAGGAACTGAATGCTGTGTTGCAGTCAAGATAACCAGAGACCCCCACTGCAATAAAATTGTCAAGAAAACACTGAGTTATGTGTTAATTACAGGAGCAAACGGGAAAGACAAAATAGCATCAGCATTTTGGTAATGTCAAATGGCATCATCTTCGAGTTTGCAAACTCGAAGAACCTCACCTGCTTGAGCAAGCCTTTGAGCTCATGCCTTGAGAGGTTACCTCCCTGGGAGTATGAGCCATGTAAGACTATAAGCCATGTTACCATAAACGAGATGACAACGAAAAAGTCCAACATAATACCACAAGAAATGAGGCATAAGTATCTTGAGGAAATTTATAAAGCCGGAAATGAATTTGATTAAATTTACACTAATGGACCATCTAATCCTACTAATGGCAGGGTTGGAGCAGCATACACTGTAATCTATGTAAATAAAAATGGAAATGTTCGTTTGTTCAAAATCGCTAATCTCCGAAAGTTCTTCACCGATTGCTTTGAAATTTTCACACAACGTTCCATTCGCATCCGAGCAGGTTTTTATATACATGCTATATAGATGTCACGTCTGTAACGGAAAAAAACATGCTTTTTTGAAAAACTGTGTTTTTCATGTTAGGGAAATCTTCGAAACCTCTTTACCGATTGCTTTGAAATTTTGACACAATGTTGCATTTGACACAACAAAATAAGCGGTTAATTATCCAACAGAATTTGTTAGTTCACTCGATCTGCCAGTGATACCATCACACGTACGGCAATTGAAAATCGGCTTGCCAATTATCATGTTGCGAAATATCAACCAGCCAAAACTTCACAACGCCACACGCTTTGCAGTAAACAAATTATTCAGCGACGTCGTAGAAGCAACAATCTTGACAGGACCTTACAAAGCTGAAGATGTCCTTATTCCTTGCATTCCTATGATTCCAACAGATATGCCATTTCAATTTAAGAGATTGTAATTTCCAATTCGATTGGCGTTTGCAATCACCATCAACAAAGCTCAGGGCCAATCTTCAGAATTGTGCAGTTTATATCTAGACATGGATTGCTTCTCACATGGACAATTATATTTTACGTGTTCTAGAGTTGGCAAACCAGACAATCTCTATATCTCCGCAGACAATGGAACAACAACAAATATTGTATACCCACAAGCATTGGAAAATTAAACATATTAGAAACGTCCGCTTTCCCTTTTCTTTTTTTCCCACTTATCCGGACTGTGCCACAGCAACGCGTGGCGGATACTGCTAGTTAGGAATAATGCCTTTAAAAACGGAAATGATGGAAAAGCATACATTGAGACTGCCATTGTTATGGAATTAAGATTCCTTGAAATCACTTAAGGTGTAGTGATCTACACTGATTCACTACAAAGCCTTAGGAAAAAAGCACTCAGGTGATAGTTGCTGAAATCAAGAGAGCTGCAAAAATACTAACAAATCAGGGAAGGGTGATTAAGTTCCTGTTGATCACCTCCCACTTGGGAATGTGTGGAAATGAACGAGCAGATGTGCTGGTTGCTGGTCATGCTGAATGGGACATATTGAATACTTCATTGTCAATACTTCATACCCAAGACTTTGAGAAAGTAATAAGTTGGTAATTGAGAAAGGAGGATGAAAGAACAAATCAGTGAATCTATATACTGGTACAATGTGGCTGCAGCTGGTAATCCTAGTCATTATGGACGAAGTGGACGCGAGAGAGAATCCGTAATAGCGAGAATTCATTTTGGATACAAATATCCATGATGATGCTGGATGGAAACAACAGTTGAGCAGCGAAGCTGTAAAATCTGTGGTGAAACTGATGGACACCGCCTTGACCACTACCTGAGATAATGTGCCATCTAAGAGACATTAGATTTGTGTAGAATAATAAGCAACACATTGTTTAAGTCAGGAAAAACTATGTCAAATATAGATACTGTTCTTAAAAGATTTCCCCCACTTTGGACCTGCAAGATAAAGAAAGCTTAAGGGATGATTAATGGCCATCCATTAATTCCTTAATGTTAATCTTTAAGGTTAATAAACTGTTTACCTGAGATAGGTAAACAAGTCCCAGCTGTGTCTAGGTATAATTGACAGAATGAACATCCCAGTGGGGTTTCTTTCTTATTTGGGGTGTTGTACATGCTGCTATGGCACTATGTTCACTCAGGAGATGAGTGGCACTCCCAAATAAACTCGCCATTTGGGGCAAAATTAAATTAAATTACTGGAAATTCATAAAAAGGAGAGGAGTGAAGATTGAGAGACTAGAGACGATCATTGAGGACCTAAAAGCAAACCTGGCAGTAGTAATGAACTTCGAGTAACTACCTCAAACTAGGTAGAGGAATTACGGGAAAGAAGCCTTGAGAGAGAGGAATATATGCATGGGCTCCAGAATAGATTAAAATTAAGTGGAAAATGAGGGGAATGCAACAGAGGAGGCAGGGTGGAAAACGAGAGAGAGAGTAAAGCATGAAGATAATGTGGCTATTAAATGGGGAAAGACCAGACAAATCCTTTGCTAAAGTAGCTCAGGGATCAGAGGGAAAACATCATTAAAGCAGCTGCAATTGATGTCTCTAAAAGCTAGCAGGTTGTGAAAAGCACAAAGCAGGAATTGGAGAGGGCGAAATAAGTGGTAATCTATAATCTTTCAAAGCAACAGGGGAGAAAAATTATATAAACAATCAGCTCTCTGAATATCTTGAATCTTACAGGAGCTGGAGTCATGGATCACAGGGGCGGGGTCCGCTGGCGTCATCTACTTCAGTTTGGGCTCCTTCACGCAAGGCACCGACATGCCAGTCCAGTACCGCGACCTCTTCGTCCAGGCCTTCCGCAGGGTGCCGCAGCGCGTCATCTGGAAATACGAAGGTGTGATAGAGAACGTTCCTGACAATGTGATGATCACCAAGTGGCTTCCCCAGCAGGATATTCTCGGTGAGTTTCTTATTCTTTAAAAGCCAAAATCATATTATAAGATGCATTCTTTGATGTGCTCTAAATCTTATGACTACTGTGACAAAACTGCTGTTGGTGTGTGTTTCTGCCATATTTATTATACTCTGGATGCTCCCTTAAACATGGTGCTATAAATATGGGTGGTACCCACATTCCAACGTTCGTATGTAAACTGCCTTGTCTTTGATCATGGTAATATTAATAATGAGTCTCTCTGCCCCATGACAATATAAACTTTGCCTCACAATAGCATAAATATACCACTAAAATATTTCAGGATATATGATGGGGTAAACTTAAATTTCTTGCAATGGTGAAAACGTTTAGAAAAGTTTCGAGACCATCTTTTTTACTTAAAAATATTTTGTATTTTGTACACAAGTGATCAACTTGTAAAGCAGATTGTTTAGCACCAACAAGGTCCTTCCAGATTATATGTTTATTGAGTAGAACTTCGAATGCCAGTCCAGAGTCCAAAAAATATGAATGAATAAATTGTGAGGGGTAATAATGAAATGTTTCCGCCTTACATTATTCCTGAAGTTATATTTACAACACATACTGTATCAGAAAATGATCCAATCCACACGGGCCGTGATGAGGTTTCGAACTTACGTCCGGGATGATCCCAGACGTGCCTTAGTCGACTGCATCATATTATGGAAAAGAATTGCATACTGGAGTGCTACTGCCCTCACGAGAATCCTGCAACTTCTCCGAAGCACAAACCAGAGTTTCACACAATTCTCCCATGCATCTAGGCTCTGCCAACCAGACATTCTACCTCTTCGCTCTTACTTCAATATTCACAGAAATCGCAATAGCTTGATATATCAAATGAACAAATCTACAAAATGAGGTTTCGAACTTACGTCTGGGATGATCCCAGATGATTACAGGAAAGAAATGATTACAGAAAAGCCTAACAAAGTTAATCCCAGAAATTAGAAACCTCTCCTATGAAAAGGTACTAAAAAGCTAAATTTACATTCTCTAGAAAGACAAAGAGTAAGATGTGTAAATTAGAGGTTCGGCCATAAACTTCTGCCACTGCTGGATTCAGGAGGAACCACGACGTCCAGGCTTACCCACGGCCACCACATCAAACTGTCTTTAGGAAATTAATTTAACATGGCAGAAGTATTTCACTATATTCACTAATTCACTGGTGAATGTCAATTGTGCTGAAGATCTACAGTATCTCTCAAGTGTTGAAGTTAGACACGCTTTGATCTGCATACAAAGACTTATATTACTAGCTTCTCACTGTGACCAAACTGATCAACATCTAGTAGTTTGGGAAGAGATATTAATTGTAATTTTAATTATTATTATATTGTGTCTAAGCTTGGAGATGACATCTTCAGAAAGACATAGCTGCTTTGGAGAAAGTTCAACACTGATGGGATGAGACGGAACACGACACAATGGGTATTAGATGGATATGAGAGCATAAGAATGGAAGTAACTGCAGAGGGCCTATTGGCCCATACTTACTCTTGATGCTTCTATATTGGTTCGAAGTCTTAAAATGGGTAGAATAAAGTTGTGCATTGTCTGTTGATTGCTAATACCCATAGTGTCGTGTTCTGTCTTCTATTTGTCACAAGTTTGTTCACTTCATCCAAAACTGTTGCACCATATCATCTCACCCAAAAGCGAGAATAAGTAAGACGGACAAGCTGTTTAGTGTTAGTATAAGTAAGGCTCTGTTTAGTGTTTTCAGGTTACAATTGTGTGTGTAAACTAAAGTCTTTGAAAATGTAATAAGTTATTATGAAACGCATTCAAGCGTCGCGTCAGACTAAAAATAAAAAATTAATTTTGGAGAATTGATTTTTCAATTACCATCGACAGTGAAAAGAAACATAAGAAATATTGAGAAAATTCGTGTTAGAATTATTAATCTTACTTTTTCGGTCATATTTAATAAAATATGTTTACAAGAAAGACTGCTACCAAAATATACTAATATATATTTATATATTAGTATATATATATATATATATATATATATATGTCGTACCTAGTAGCCAGAACTCACTTTTCAGCCTACTATTCAAGGCCCGATTTGCCTAATAAGCCAAGTTTTCCTGAATTAATATATTTACTATAATTTTTTTCTTATGAAATGATAAAGCAACTCTTTTCTCTATGTATGAGGTCAATTATTTTTTATTGGAGTTAAAATTAACGTAGATATATGACCGAATCTAACCAACCCTACCTAACCTAACCTAACCTATATTTATAGGTAAGGTTAGGTTAGGTAGCCAAAAAAAGCTAGGTTAGGTTAGGTTAGGTAGGTTAGGTAGACGAAAAAACATTAATTCATGAAAACTTGGCTTATTAGGCAAATCGGGCCTTGAATAGTAGGCTGAGAAGTGAGTTCTGGCTACTAGGTACGACATATATATATATATATATATATATATATATATATATATATATATATATATATATATATATATATATATATATATATGTCGTACCTAGTAGCCAGAACGCACTTCTCAGCCTACTATGCAAGGCCCGATTTGCCTAATAAGCCAAGTTTTCATGAATTAATTGTTTTTCGGCAACCTAACCTACCTAACCTAACCTAACCTAACTTTTTCGGCTACCTAACCTAACCTAACCTATAAAGATAGGTTAGGTTAGGTTAGGTAGGGTTGGTTAGGTTCGGTCATATATCTACGTTAATTTTAACTCCAATAAAAAAAATTGACCTCATACATAATGAAATGGGTAGCTTTATCATTTCATAAGAAAAAAATTAGAGAAAATATATTAATTCAGGAAAACTTGGCTTATTAGGCAAATCGGGCCTTGCATAGTAGGCTGAGAAGTGAGTTCTGGCTACTAGGTACGACATATATATATATATGTCGTACCTAATAGCCAGAACGCACTTCTCTGCCTACTATGCAAGGCCCGATTTGCCTAATAAGCCAAGTTTTCATGAATTAATTGTTTTTCGACTACCTAACCTACCTAACCAAACCTAACCTAACTTTTTCGGCTACCTAACCTAACCTAACCTAAAAAGATAGGTTAGGTTAGGTTAGGTAGGGTTGGTTAGGTTTGGTCATATATCTACGTTAATTTTAACTCCAATAAAAAAATATTGACCTCATACATAATGAAATGGGTAGCTTTATCATCTCATAAGAAAAAAAATTGAGAAAATATAATAATTCAGGAAAACTTGGCTTATTAGGCAAATCGGGCCTTGCATAGTAGGCCGAGAAGTGCGTTCTGGCTACTAGGTACGACATATATATATATATATATATATATATATATATATATATATATATATATATATATATATATATATATATATATATGTCGTACCTAGTAGCCAGAACTCACTTCTCAGCCTACTATTCAAGGCCCGATTTGCCTAATAAGCCAAGTTTTCCTGAATTAATATATTTACTATAATTTTTTTCTTATGAAATGATAAAGCAACCCTTTTCTCTATGTATGAGGTCAATTTTTTTTATTAAAGTTAAAATTAACGTAGATATATGACCGAACCTAACCAACCCTACCTAACCTAACCTAACCTATATTTATAGGTAAGGTTAGGTTAGGTAGCCCAAAAAAGCTAAGTTAGGTTAGGTTAGGTAGGTTAGGTAGACGAAAAAACATTAATTCATGAAAACTTGGCTTATTAGGCAAATCGGGCCTTGAATAGTAGGCTGAGAAGTGCGTTCTGGCTATTAGGTACGACATATATATATATATATATATATATATATATATATATATATATATATATATATATATATATATATATATATATATATATATATATCGTACCTAGTAGCCAGAACGCACTTATATATATATATATATATATATATATATATATATATATATATATATATATATATATATATATATATATATATATATATATATATATATATATATATCGTACCTAGTAGCCAGAACGCACTTCTCAGCCTACTATGCAAGGCCCGATTTGCCTAATAAGCCAAGTTTTCATGAATTAATATATTTTCTCTAATTTTTTTCTTATGAAATGATACAGCTACCCATTTCATTATGTACGAGGTAATTTTTTTTCCATTGGAGTTAAAATTAACGTAGATATATGACCGAACCTAACCAACCCTACCTAACCTAACCTAACCTATCTTTATAGGTTTGGTTAGGTTAGGTAGCCGAAAAAGTTAGGTTAGGTTAGGTTAAGTAGGTTAGGTAGTCGAAAAACAATTAATTCATGAAAACTTGGCTTATTAGGCAAATCGGGCCTTGCATAGTAGGCCGAGAAGTGCATTCTGGCTACTAGGTACGACACATATATATATATATATATATATATATATATATATATATATATATATATATATATATATATATATATATATATATATATATATATATATATATATATATATATATGCGAACAAGCTTGAATGGTCCCCAGGACTATATGCAACTGAAAACTCACACCCCAGAAGTGACTCGAACCCATACTGCCAGGAGCAACGCAACTGGTATGTACAGGACACATTAATTTATATTATATATATATATATATATATATATATATATATATATATATATATATATATATATATATATATATATATATATATATATATATATATATATATATATATATATATATATATATATATATATATATATAAAGTGTTTAAGTTCAACATAGATGGTGACATATGACTGAAGTGTATAAATACATGAAAGGGTATAACAAAGAGCATAAATAAAGTATTAAATATATCAACACAAACTAGAACCTTTAAATAGTAGATATAAATTGGAGTTCAGATTCAGGAGTAACCTGGGGTAAATACTGGAATGGAAATAAGTTTGTTGATATATGGAACCAATTACTGGATACCATAATATTTGAATAACTTTGGGTAGATATAAATATGAGCTGCATCATTTGGGAGAATTACCCTTTTTTGCTTTCTTTTATTCTTGTGTTCTTATATATAAAGCACATTTATATTTATAGCATAATTGCTTTAATGTAAAATTTAATTCGTTGACCTGACATCAAGATAGGAGTTGAGGCCCTGCATAAAGCATAGGAAATCTGGGCAGAAGTTCTGTATAATAAAAATATATCAATTGTTTGCTTTAACTCATAAACGGGTAATAATTGGTTACATTCGATGACTTACTTGTATGTATAGTAATCCCATTGTATTTTTAAACTCAAATCCTCTTTTACCACAGCCCATGACAAGGTAAAGGTGTTCATCACACATGGAGGCCTCCTCAGCATGCAGGAAGCCATCTACCACGCCACACCCCTCCTCGCAATACCCATATACGGAGACCAGCCCAGGAATGGCAAATTTGTAAGGGACTCTAGCCTCGGAGACTATCTGGTGTGGGAGGAACTAACAGAGGACATGATCATTGATGCTATCACCAAAATCATAAATGATCCTAAGTATGTGTTTGTTCAGTGACTATTAGGTTGAAAATATATGAGAATTTGTTTGATAATATCTACAGTTATTATTATTATTATTTTATTACATTTTCGTTGACCATAGGTATGTTACTTGATATACATGTAAATAAGGTAATTTTTTAGATAAAATACAAGAAAATCGCTAGAGAAATTAATTTAATGGAAGTTTCGCTATTGATAATAATTTGGGCAACTCTAGGTTTCAAATCTCCCTGGAAAGTGGTGAATTGTTAGATTTGGAAAGTTCATAAAATGGTGCCAATATATATATATATATATATATATATATATATATATATATATATATATATATATATATATATATATATATATATATATATATATATGTAGGAAAAAAGCAAGACAAAAGCTGCTAAACTATAGATCAGTATATTTGGATGTTATTTGGGTTCTGCATGGAAATCTCATCTGAATAAAAAGTAATTCAAGACTTGAAGACACTCAAATACACCTCTTCAAATGTACAAAGAAGTGACACTAATGGTAGAAAAAAATTACACTAATGCAATATATCACTGAGAAAATCAGTAGAAGCCATGAGGAGGATTCGAACCTATGTTCTGATTACTCCCAGTACCCCAGGTGTAACTGGATATCCAGCATCATAGTATAGGGGTCTCATACATATATGTAGGAATACCCAGTTCGAATCCTCGTCATGACCTCTACTGATTTTCTCATTGATACATCACGTTGATGTGATTTATTTTTGCAGTCATGAATAAATTGAATGGATTAGATGAAGTTGTCATCATACATGCCAGACATCAAGAGTGCCTAAAATGAGAAACAATGAAAACATAACCATAAAATGGAACCACAAATAAATAAATTTTCGTCAAGTTTATATGTGGTATATATAAGCCATGAATTAGAAAGGATAGAGAAGATATGTTATACCGTGAAAGACAGGAGCATTTGTACTAAATAATTGATATCAAGTGTATGAAGACTTGCAAGCATTCACACACACTCTAACATGTGAAAATACTCTTTTAGTGTAAGAGTGGCGTAGACAGATAATGGAGTCTAGATGAGTGGATAAAAGGTAAAAATACATGCCATTCAAAACAGCAAACGTAGATATGATAGAAGGCATGTAGTCAAGGCCTTAAATGGCCTAGTGCTGGAAAAGATGGGGCCAAAAACTGAAGTATTAACCTGAATATGCAAATAGGTGTGCACACACATATTAGTTCTAATTCATAATTTATCTTATCCCTTCTCTCATGGTTAGGTATAAAGAAAATGTATTGAGGATGTCAGTACCGCTGCGGGACCAGCTGACGTCACCCAAGGAGCTGGCAGTGTTCTGGACGGAGTACGTCATCCGCCACCGTGGGGCGCCCCAGCTGAGGTCCCCGGCGGCACAGCTCTCCTGGGTGGAGTTTCTCATGCTTGACGTCATCCTCCTCCTCCACCTGAGTTTCATCTTACTAGGCTTCATCCTACGTAGAATCTTCAGGGTTATTAGTGCTAAAATATTCGTTAGTGATGCTGCCAAGAAGAAGAAGAATGATTAGGAATGGCTTAGATAAGTCATACATGGAAGCATCATAATATTTGGATTGTCTTCGTTGTATAATTCTTATTTCTTTTTTAGAGGTATTTCTTCTCAGCGGAGGTCAGAAGTGAAAAGAATGCATAAATAATTAAGAATTATTTTTTATATGCAATTATGGGTTTACTTTAATCATTTATGAAGATTAAAATATAATAGAAGGAAATTATTTTCCAAACAAAATAATTATCTTATCAAAATTTTAGAGTGAAGTGAAACCTCGTAAAGTTTCTAGTTATACCAAGAGATGACAATGACAAGCAGATGGCAGCCAGTCATCACTTGATATTCTACTCATATATTGTGTGGCATTTTTGTCTTTCTAGATTATTATGCTGTCTAGAAGGCTCATATTTACAAAGTTCAATTCTAGCAGCAATAAAACCATTAGATCCAAACTAGGCACAGTGACATTATCATTAAATGGATTCGTGATATTACTTTGAGTTTTAGTACTTAGCAATTATTGCACACATATTTGATTCCCAACAGTGGGGAACTTACCCAGTTATGTCCATGACAAAGAAGATCTATCTCTAGATCCGTATCTCTTGACTTTTGTGCCTGATACATATACACCTCTGTATGTCCAAGTACTCTGTCATGTTTGCTCTTGGATCTGGGAGTGAAGTTTATTTCTATCACTTCTGGTGCAAATGTATTTCTATTGTTTACCCACCTCATTGTATATGAAAAATTCCAACATTTATCTAGTCCATTTGTATTTCGAACATAGTTTTGTTGTTCATGGCTGGGAGAAGACTGTGTGTCTATTTTGTCTATGCCCTTCAATTTCTTGCACATTGTGATTATATCACTTCTGGTCTTTAAAGTCTGAAAAGTCATTAGATTTAGTTTTCTTGGAAAGTTCATCATTGCTCATACCACTGGTAATACTATCCAGACAAATCTTTGAACTTAAGTTTTTTTCTTGCATGATCCCATGATGATGATGTATCCATTTGTTTATGCTTCCATCAATACTTTTGTCCATCCTTGCACGCCAGTATCCGTGTGTGCATATATTGGTGTGTGTTAATTTAAGTGAGTATGTATGTGTGCCTGCATTTGTGTGTATGCCTCCATCCGAATGGCTATTCGCCCATATGTACGTCTGACTTTGTGTATATCTTCCCGAGTGTGCCCTCATCTGTGTTATACATCCATCATGTATATTGTGTCGCATCTGTACCTCTTTCTGTTCAAGTCAACAATATTGGTGGTATTTCTCAAGACTAAACCTATATACGAGTGATATTATTTCTGCACTTCTGTGGGAAGAACGTATTTTTAATATAAGTTACATTCCTTTTAAATTAAATATCATTATTTCAAGTTCAAATGTAAAACTGAAGACTATTTATTGTCAGCATTATATTTCTGTAGTGAGATAATTATGATATAAAGAACTGTTGGGTGAATTCATTACATCAAATGATTGTAAAAATCAAGATTAATATTTGTATTGCAGTTAGTTACCAATTGAGCTTATTTTAAGTATTTTAAGAATAAAAATAGCATCTATTTTGTTTGTTTTTTGTAAAAATTTGGAGATACATGTAGTAAGCTGCGTTTCTAGCTTACTATTAGGCTAGTAGTTTCTAGCTCTAGTTTCTAGTTTTCTTGTCTCATTTTCCAAGTATATTGATTTTCATGAAGATAACAGTGTTAGAAGTTTGTATGGCTTTAGTACACACATACATTCTTGACTACCTCCTCTGGAGTGTGTACCCATAACATCTGGTGACGAATAATCCTGGTTGTAGAAGCTCTTGTAGTCTATTTTCTCATGAAACTAACGTATTTCTTTAACAATAGAAATTTAATAAGTTCTAAAAAAATGTGTACATACAAATAAAAATTATTCATGGTGAGATGAAAATCATGAGTATCCTTTCATGAGGCTGATATCTGGGTGCTCTCCTTTGGAATTTATTACATGTCAAAGATCATGGGTATTTACCCTCACGAGCCACCATGTCCCTAGTGGCCTTGACGGAGACAAAAAGCCAGCGGCTTGTTAAAAGTCCCCAATGGTTCCTATGGATTTATTTTGTCTGACCTTTAAAGTTAAGTAATGTCTTAGCATTTGTATCTTCAGCGGGAAGGTAATTCCAAGGGTTTATCTCCATTTATAAGAGAGGATGTCTGTCTGTCTGTTAGTTTATCTGTTGAGGGATGAAGACTAGACTTTTACTGTTAGTCTAAGGCAACTTTCCTTGATGAACTGTGATTGTATGCCAAGTGTCATAGGGGGTGGTGGAGGTCAGACTCATTCCTGTTATAAGTAGGAGTGGTTCCTATTGCAACAAACATCGACTCCTATGAAGCCTGAAATGAGTGTTTGATTGTCCATAGTGTGTTAACAATAGGCTTTCAACCTGTTTACAATGACTAATAATGGTCAACACCGCTGTAACCATTTATATTGAAGTCGATTTCACCAATTTGCAGCCTTAATAATTAACCTTAACATCAAGTATATACAACATGAAGACAAACCACGGTCTTCCCTGTCAGTAGAAAAACTAACAGTAGATGGTATGCTCAAAGATAAATGATAGGGAAAACTAACTAAAATCACAATTAAACATTAATATGAATTTATTAATAAGACTCAGGGATGTCTTATACGAACATTCTACCCCTAGAGGAAACTGGCATAATTGCTAAAAATAAAAAACCCTCAAGTATCAGTTTCTTAGCTCTGAAACTTATCCGACCGGGAAGGCCATACATATCTCCCACCCTTGGTTTTTCAACACCCTGTCTGCACTCAAGGTCCAGCTCACACAAAATTACGTAAGAATTATTCCACGTCTGCTATTAAGCTCCGTCTTCTAAGGCCTTCTGGCCACGCCTCTGGGCACACTTGGGCCAATCACAGAGTCTATACCTAAATCGTTAAAGGTTAGGCTAGATTAGGTTAGGTTAGCTGGGAGTCCAAGTTAGGTAACATAGGGGACATCAACCTAGCAGTGCAATCTTTTCTTCAAAAAACTCTTAGCCTTTATAACACCCACTGTCCTATGCTTACAAAACAAGTCACAAACAAAAGGCTTAACAATCCTTGGCTTACAAAGGGAATACTTAAATCCATTAACAAAAAACATGACCTTGAGAAGAAGTATAGGTTAGGAACCGTCTCCAAAGAGTTCTCAAAGAATTACTCGTTATTGCTATCTAAAATAATTAAACGAGCCAAAACTAAATACTATGAAGATAAATTTACCCAAATAAAGAGCAACATTAAAAAAACTTAGAGCACAATTTCACAAATATTGGGATCAAAGAAGATTTTAAATAACAAACCAACACTCCTGTCCAATAACGTTCGTCAGCTTTCAGCCTCTGATTCTGCTATTGAGTTCAATAGGTTCTTCTCTTCCATTGGGTCATCCCTTGCAAATGATATTCCATCTTCCAGTACTGATGTTAAGGACTATCTTACAGGTAACTATCCACAGTCTCTGTACCTAAAGCCTACTAATTTTACTGATGTCAATGAGATAATCCTTTCCCTTAAAACCAAGTCTAGTGCCCTCGAGGAGATACCAACTTTAATTTACAAACAAGCCTCCAGATCTTTAGCCCCTGCTATTGCACTGCTCTTCAACAAGTCACTTGAACTCCAAACCTTTCCAGACATTCTAAAAAAAGCAAGAGTAACCCCTGTCCACAAATGTGGTGATCTCACAGATGTTAACAACTACAGACCTATATCAATCCTGCCTAACTTGTCAAAAATATTTGAAAAACTAATCTACAAGCAGCTTTACTCTTTTCTAGCCAAACACAATATACTTAGCTCTTGTCAATATGCCTTCAGACCAAAAAAAAACACTAACGATGCACTTATTAGTATGATTAACTTGATTCATGCAGCTTGTTACGAACCCGGATCCAGCGTCCGAGCAAGGAGCAGTGACAACCACGCCATCTGTGGGTCAGCTCCCGAAACCCCTGCCAAACGGACGACGACACCTAGTGAGGACAGCGTGTACTGGCCTCGAGGACCAGTTTCCAGTCTGGTTCAGCGCTCAACACCGCCGCTCCTGACCTCTGGTGAGGTGGTGCTCCGACGACAGCGCCATCTATGGACTGGATACGTCAGGTGTTTGTGCCCGAGCCCGTAAGTGAGATGTATTAGTGTCCCGGTTATTGATGACGTGTCTGTTTACAGAGTCGACCTGGGACCACTGTGTTGAAGGTTGAGTCAGTCTACCCGAGGCAGCCAGTCTCCATACTGTGAAGTTTGCTGCAGCTGTTGTGACGTCGTCCCCCCGGAAGAACACTGTGGTGTGTTAGCCTGCCAGTGGAGTGGCAGTGAAAGGATTTACCCGGGACCGACTGTTGGAGACGATAATCCACTGGGGTATTGAGGACAGGAGGGTGATTGGTGATATCACACGAGACTCCTGTCTAGGGCGTACCCCTTATATCGTTCGTGGAGTGGCCGTACCAGCCTTGGTGGCTCAGTACCTGCCAGCAGACCAGCTGGACGTGTGGTTGACGGCCTCCACGACGGTGCCCCCAGTGGACCTGTGTTTTGGCTGACCTGTGGCCAGGGTAGGCTCGGCATTCTCAGAAGACACGTCTTGAGGCCACGAAGAAAGCACCGCGGACTCAGCACCTAGCTTCGTGATCAAGAGTCTTCAGCAGAAGACTAGATTGTGCATGATCCCCTTGTAAAGTGTTAATACCCCACCCCCTTGTGTACTCTTTTATTCTATATATTTAATCGGTGATGGTGAACATTATAATATTAAGTTCTTAACTTTCTTTCCCTACTCCCTTTTAAGTTACTTGCGTCACGGATCTCATCCCTTGATAGCCACTACTGGCTTGGGAACGGATACATATATCTTCCTCTAACAACATCAGAGTGAGAACCCCGTTGCGTCCCGAGAGGGCCGTAACACAGCTCTTGATAAAAAGGAGTTCCCTGTTGGGTTATTTGTGGACCTGCATAAGGCTTTTGACACTGTCAACCACCAAAACCTTCTTCTTAAATTACGTCATTATGGAGTCAGAGGACACTCCCTGCAATACCTCAAATCTTACCTTACTGACAGGCTCCAGTATGTTTCTGTGAATAATACAATTTCTCCCACCCTACCCATCAACATTGGTGTTCCTCAGGGCAGCATACTTGGCCCTCTCCTCTTTCTCATCTACATTAATGACCTTCCAAATGCCTTCCAACACCTCAAACCAATTCTATTTGCTGATGACACAACCTTCATTTACTCCAGTCCTGACCCCCTTGCTCTAAATGCCACAGTAAATACTGAGCTAAATAAAGTCCATCTTTGGCTAACTGCCAACAAACTCACCCTTAACATTGACAAAACGTTCTATATTCTGTTTGGCAATAAATCATCTAATCAAATAAATCTCAAAATAAACAATACCCAAATTTGTAACAAATTAGATGGCAAATTCCTTGGCGTTCTCATCGACCACAAGCTGAATTTCCAGGGACACATTCTAAATATATCAAGAAAAGTTTCAAAAACTGTTGGCATTCTTTCTAAGATCAAATATTATGTACCCCGCCCTGCCCTGGTGACTCTCTATTACTCCCTCATCTATCCATATCTCAACTATGGTATTTGTGCTTGGGGTTCTACTACCCAAAATCATTTACGTCCTCTAATTACTCAACACAAAGCTGCTATTAGGACAATATCCAACTCTAGCCCCAGACATCACTCGGTACCCCTACTCAAATCTCTGAATATGTTAGATATTAAGTCACTGCACATCCTCTCATGTGTATTATACATATATAAAACGCTGAACTGTAATGCCAATCCTGACCTCAAAAGATTCATTGAAGGTTGGAACAGAACCCATGAGCACCACACCAGAAATAAATACAGTTTTGATATTCCTAGAGTACGACTTAATCAAACTAGAAATGCTCTTCAAATCAAGGGACCCAGAATGTGGAATGACCTTCCCAATCATGTTAAAGACAGTACCTCTCTCAACCAGTTTAAGATAAAAACAAAGCACTACCTAATAAACTCCCTGTAACCTACCTTACCCCTCTGTTGTCAACCTATGTCTGTTTTTTTTTTCAAAACAACGCTGTTTGAATGTAATAATCTGTAATTGTATTGTGTGCTGCTTTTTCAGCCATGTTCCCCACCCCCCCTCTTTTACCTCTATTTTTATTTGTTCTCAACACATTTTATTCTTTATACCCATTAGTATTAAACTTTAGTCATTAATGTTTTTCCTGCCCGAAACGCTTTGCGTAATAATGGCTTTAGGCATTGTATGTACTAGCTCTATTAATCCAACAAACTTTGTAAAATCTCTTGTATGTATGTACCTTACCTAAATTTACATTTATTTATTTATTATTTATTTATTATTAGAATGTAGGTTGTAGGTTAGGTTAGATTAGGTTATATGTTAGCTTATAGGTTAGGTTAGTATTAGGCTAGATTAGGTTAGGTTACGTTATAGGCTATGTTTGGTTAGATCATAGGTTAGGATATAGGTTAGATCAGGGTTAGGTTAGGTTATAGGTTAGGTTTGGTTAGGTTATAGGGTTAGGTTAGGGTTAGGTTTGGTTAATGAACCTGTTCACCTAGCAGTAAATAGGTATCTAGGAGTTACTGAGCTACTTGCATCCTGGTGAGTGAGGGTTAGTCAATAGTTCGTTCTTGTACGCACCTAGTTGTGCTTGCAGGGCTTGAGCTCTTGCTCAAGCAGATAGTAGGTAGTAGGTAGATAATTGCTCAAGCAATTATCTATCTTTAATTCTTCCTGCTACGAAGCCTATCCTAAGGCGAGGGTCGTTGAGGTCCTCGGTCCTCCGTTGATCAGGTTCCACACACAAGGTCCTCAGTCGGCTCGT